TTAAAAGCAATCCTAATACATAATATGTCCTACGTGTCACCATTTTTAAGCATTATAAACATGTCACGTCAACAATGTGTGTCACGTGTCATCTCTTTAAATACAATAAACATATCATATCATCCCCATAACATGAACTATGTGTTAGATTTAACCACTAAAAACGCTTATACAAAGACTTGAACTCGATACCAACAAATATTACGTTAAATTACAAGTCTTAATTACCACCTTAGCTATATATCCATTTACAGGTTATTGTCTTTTTTTTTAACCCCAACAAAATAAATGGATAAGATGATTACTGCTTAAGTATATTATTTGTTCCCATTAAGTAATAATCATAAGATAATTTAACAACTTTAATTTTGAAATTTGAAAAGTTGTATTGTTCTTCAATTTGATTAAAAATAATAATAATAATTTTAGTTTTATATTAGGAAAATTTGACAATTACCATCTACAATTGTTGTTGTTTTAGCAATGGAAAAATGGAATCTAAAAATCCAACCTTTGGCCGGTCTGACAATAAAAATCCAACCTTCGTTTAATCTCACAAAAATCCAACCTTTATACCCCACCTTCTTTGACAGATCCATTACCTGTTGATGACCGTTTTTTGTAAGTTATGTGCCACATGTCAGGCGTTAATTGGTCAAATATTTTTTTAATCATTAAAAAAAACAGAAAAGAAAAAAAAAAACACCATCAACCACCTTCCCTAGCCCCCGCACCACCCCAGCCACCTCCCCCACTCACCGGCAACTACCCCCCAGCCCAACCAGCCCCACCATCGGGGTCGTCGGATTCCGGCGATCTCCCCCCACCCCTTGCCGCAACCTCCCCAACCACCAAAACCCCCTTCGAATCTATACCTAACCACCACACCAAACACCCAATTCAACCAAACCCACCAAACATCCCCCTCTCCCCCTCCCTCCCCTATGCAGCACAACCTCCCCCTCTCTCTACCCCTCCCTCCCCGGCGCACAACCTCCCTCCCCCCTCCCTCCCCTGAGCGAAACCTAGCCCTTATCAAAACCCCAATCGACGCGCGACCTTGGGTATGGGGTTGGTGGTTTCAAACCTGCGTATGGGGTTGGTGGTTTCGAACCTGGGTATGGGTATGGGGGTAAGTGGTGGTGGAAGAGGTTATGGGTACGGTGAGGGAGATGCTGGGGTGGTGGTTATGGTGGGCGACCCTAAACTGACCCCATACCCTATCTCGGACCGCCTCGTTTGGGAGCACTAATAGAAAAATTGAAAATGCCACCGCTTAAAGGCCACCGGTTTTTGTAAACCGGTGGTTTAAAAAATGGGCGGGCATATGGGAACAATTATTGCACCGGTTCAAACCGAACCCGTGGCAAAAATGCTCAAGGCCACCGGTTTTGAACCGGTGGCAATATTTGAATAAAAAAAAACCCCGACTCTTCTACTACTTCTTCTCTCTCCCAGGAAAATCTCTGTATTTCACTCTAAAAAAAAACCCCCTCTGCAAATTCGAGCAAAACCACGACTCCTCTTCATCTCCCTTCCACCACGACGCCACAGCAGCCACCGCACCACCATCCACCACCTCCGCACTCCCTCCACCACATCCGCACCACCATCCACACTCAAGATAGTAGGGGCCAAAGGGGGCCAAGGCCCCCCTCAAGTGAATTGCTTTACATTGGTAATATTTGGATTTTAGTACAAGTAAAAGTATAAAAAATTCATGTGGCCCCCGCCAAACAAATAAAAAAAAATTAATACAAAACCAAACTCACACTTTATGTACTAATATTAACGCATGTGATGAGTTTGGTACTTGATATTTCTAGATTCTACTATATTATATTGTTAGATAAGACAAAATATAAATATTGCAACTAAATAAAAATAAAAGATAAAAAAATTATCTAATAAAAAAATAACAACTTGCAAACATTACAATTCACTTCAACACAAAATTACAAAAGGAAAGCAGTGAAAACCCCCAAAGTGACGAAACAAACAGTACATATCACCATTGAAGTTTCTTGCTTGCTGTTGTTGATTTTCCTTAATTCAGGTAATTTAATTATCAATTTCTACTTAATCTTGTTTGTTTACTTCAATTTTCATATTAATTACAGGTTTAGTGTGTTGAATAAATAGTTAGAGTGAGATTTTGAATTAGAAATTTTGGGGTTTAATACTCTAATTGTATATGTAAATCAGTAAATGTGTAAATCCAAACAATTATATGAAAATTGTGAATAATTAGAATAATTAATACAATTGCAATTATACTTGATATATTGCCCAATAATCATTAGATTTGATTATGCTTTTTTTGCTGTTAATTTTTGTAATTTAGGAATGACAAAGAGGACTATCACTTCTTATTTTCTTCCACAAAAAAAGGGCAGGGGTGATGAAGATATACCTGTTGTTGAGCCAAATCAGCCAATTATCATTGATAATGAAGAAGTCGAACGTAATATTAATAATGACAATGTTGATGAGCAAATGCCTAATGAAGAAGGTATTGGTCTTGATTTTTTAATGCGTGATCCTGGGTTGCGTAAGCAAATTGAGACATATGATTCAGATGAAAAAGATTTGATTAGGAGATCTTACATTGATTTTGGGCCATATCAACCTAAACTTGATAATTATCCATACTCTGGTTCCGAAAAACACCCACGTAGGTTCCAAAAAAGTTGGTTTGTGAAGTTTCCTTGGTTAGAGTATTCTCCCACAATGGATGCTGCTTATTGTTTCTATTGCTTTCTTTTTGCTAAAAAGCCTCTTGGAAGATGTGGTTCGGATACATTCACAGTGAAGGGCTTTAAAAATTGGAAGAAAGTAAATAATGGGAAGGATTGTGCATTTTTGTGTCACATGGGGAAAGATTCCAATTCTGCTCATAACTTTTCAACAAAGTGTTATTTTAATCTCAAAAATCAATCCGCTCACATTGAGAAAGTAGTAGAGAAAGTAACTGCAGAGGAGATTGCCAAGAATCGTTTACGCCTTAAGACATCAATAGATGCTGTTAAATGGTTAACTTTCCAAGCTTGTGCATTTAGAGGGCATGATGAACGTTCTAGTTCAATTAATCAAGGGAACTTCTTGGAGATGCTAAAACTTTTAGCATCATATAATAAAGATGTTGATTCGGTTATTTTGGATAATGCCCCAAAGAATGCCAAATACACTTCTCCACTAATCCAAAAGGAGATTCTACATGTTTATGCAAGAAAAGTGCAAAATAGTATACGTGAGGAAATTGGTGATGCAAAGTTTTGTTTGATTGTTGATGAGTCTAGGGACATTTCTAAGAAAGAACAAATGGCATTAGTAGTGAGATATGTTGATAGAAGTGGATTGGTAAGAGAGCGATTTTTGGATTTGGTCCATGTCAAAGACACTACATCAAAAACATTAAAAAGGGAAATTTGTGCTGTCTTGTCTCATCATAACCTTAACCTTCAAAATATTAGAGGTCAAGGGTATGACGGTGCAAGTAATATGCGTGGAGAGTGGAATGGGTTACAAGCTTTATTTATGAAGGAGTGTCCTTATGCCTATTACATTCATTGTTTGGCACATCAACTACAACTAGCTCTTGTTGCTGCATCTAGGGAAGTGCCACAGATTCATACTTTCTTTCAACAATTGATTTTTGTTGTTAATGTGGTCACTAGCTCTTCAAAGCGACATGACGAGTTACAAGAAACTCAATTGGCTGAAATTGAACATCTAGTTGAGATTGAGGGGCTTGAGACGGGAAAAGGTCTCAATCAAATCGGTACATTACAACGACCAGGTGATACTAGATGGAGCTCGCATTACAAGTCAATATCTAGTTTGTTAAGAATGTATTGTGCTACTCGCTTAGTTCTTGCTAACATAGCTAGTGAAGGAACAACTTATGCTCAGAGAGGAGATGCTCTTAATGGAGTTAAGTTGTTAATGTCATTTGAATTCGTATTTAACATACATGTTGTGAAGGAGATTATGGCCATCACCGATGGACTTTGTCAAGCACTACAATTGAAGACCCAAGATATTGTAAATGCAATGCATTTAGTTTGCACTACAAAGACATTACTTCAAACTTTAAGGAATGATGGGTGGGAGAGTTTGCTACATAATGTTAAAGTTTTTTGTGAGAAAAATGGTGTTACAGTTCCCGACATGGACTCTCCTTATGTTGATGTGCTTAAATCTATAAGGCAACAACCAAGACAAAAAGACAATGTGACAATGGAACATCACTATAGAGTTGATATATTTATGGCTGCTATAGATCGTCAATTGCAAGAGCTAAACGCAAGATTTAGTGAGCGAGCTACTGAACTTCTCATTTTAAGTGCGGCCTTGAATCCAAGAGATGGTTACAAGTCATTCAATATAGAGCATATTTGCAAGCTAGCTCGAGATTTTTATCCTATTGATTTCACAGAACATGAGAAAGATCATTTGAGTTATGAATTGCAACATTATTGGCTTGATATTCCTATTCATCCAGTGTTGAAGAACTTAACTACTCTTGGTGATTTATGTCAAGGATTAGTGACTACAGAAAAAATAAAAGATTATCCTCTTGTTTCAAGGTTAATTCGTCTCGTATTAACTCTTCCAGCATCTACTGCAACAACTGAGAGAGCTTTTTCAGCCATGAAGATAGTGAAAACAAACCTTCGAAGTAAGATGGAGGACGATTTTTTTAAGGACTACTTAATAGTGTATATAGAAAAGGAGATAGCGGAAACACTTAGTGAAGATGCCATCATTGATGCTTTTTATATGATGAAAGAGAGACGAGCACAACTAAAATGATATAAGATAAATGATAAGGTATGTTTTTCTTCATGTAGTACTATGGTAATTTTTTTGGAATATGTTCTATAACTCTATATTCATTGCTTATATAAAATATATTTTTGTTGTTGTGATATGTGGATTAATAAATTGATGTGTGAAAATGTTTATTATTTTTATCGTCATCGTAGTTCCCTTTACTTTGGCCCCCGTTAAATAAAATTCCTGGTTCCGCCCCTGCATCCACAAGAAGCGCAGCACGCACCACCATCCCACAGCCACCGCACCACCGCATTGGTCACTAATGAAGATGTCAAAGCAAGTCCTTAAAAAACTTGGAGAACGATCCCTAGATCTCTAATGGTGACGCTGCTCCTCACAAGGTTCATCCCTCTTTTTTTTTTGTTAATTTTGTATAATTTGGGTTAGGGTTTCGAATTCGTTGAGTTTTTGGGTTTTGATTTTGGATTTTGTGATTTGGTTATTGTTTTTGAGTTTGAATTTGTATGTGATGGTTGATTTCGAGTTTGATTTTGTCCCTGTACTTCGATGATTATTGTAATTTTCGATCTGATTCCCAGAACCCCCTTTTTGATTTTTCTTGTAATTTTGATATTCAAGTGTTTTCACTTAGTTTAGATTATGGGTTTAATTGGGTTTTAGTAGCCTTAGCAGACTTGATAGTAAGTTTCGGAGTTTGAAATCAGATTACACAACTCAGTTTTATTGCGATTGATCTAGGGTTTTGTTAATTTGTTTCAATAATTTCGATTGATCTAGGATTTTGTTAATTTGAGCTTTTGGAACTGTGACATACAAAATGAATTATGGGTATACGGAGTATTTGAATTGTGAGTATTTGATACTTCAATCTTTAAAATTTCAGTAGTTTGGTTTGTGGATGTATTGTGAATATTATATTGGTTGTCATTTAATTTGATTTGGTGGGTATATTTTGACTGATTTTTTCATTATGGACTTGATGGTATGGGTATATATTTTGATTCCTTTGAACTTACTATTTTATCAATATTCTGATTTCTTCGAAAGACCATAATGTGTTGAGTCTGAGTGCGAATATTGTCTCTTGGAAGGTTAACATGATACTTGATAAACTAATACTTGACTGACTACTCATGTCAATCACACAGGTGTCAATTATCAATTTGGATATTTACGAATTTGGCACTACACCTATATTGAGGGGCTGAGATTGGAAATTGAAGGGAAGATAATGAAGAGTCCAAGTATCAATGAGTTCATCTCTACATTACTTCAGTGCATTCGGAACAACATCAAACTGTGTATGCTTCTTGTGTCTTATAAGTTTGTGATCCCTGGCCCCTGCACTTTGCATTTGTTAGTTTCAATTTGTGCTACATATTATAATTATTTGTGATGGTATAGTAATGTGATGATTTGTTGTGTTGTCTTTCTTATTTAAATTTAAATGCAATATTTTGACAGGGAATGTTTGTATTTTCCTTCTATCTGGAAAGGGTTGTAGTATTTTTTTGTTTGGATCTTGGTTTAGAAGGAAGTTAAAGAGAGATTTTGTAATGCTCTTGTGTGCATAAAAACTTTTAAAAGGTGTATCTTTTCCGATAGGGATCTTGATATGAAATGAACCATAAGATTTTGAGGTTTATTGCCAGAATGCAGAAGCTTAGTTGGATTTGAGTTCATCATTTGGTTTTTGTAGTTAGTTCATGCCTGATATAAGTATCTATAATTCAGATTATTTTATCAAGGTATAAGATTATTGGAAGCTCGTATGATTGTGTAGCCTGTGTCATGATATATTTTAGATTTCCCCAGATTAAAGCAACTCCTTGGCACATGGTATATTACTTGTAAATGTGTTTTTTTGTATTTTTTGTTGAGTTAATTTTGTTTTTTTTTTTTTGCTGATTTTTTTTTTTTTTTTTGGATTCTTTTGCTGAATTTTGGTTGGTTTGATTTTGATTACAGCCAACAAAACGATGTTTGTGATTCAAAAGCTGGTGCTGATCTTCTTGACATGATTCTTTGCAAGGTAAATTCCTTTTTATTATTTTTAATTTTCATAATTAAATATTTTGTTTTGGGCATTAGAATCTAGGTTGATATTGCGCTCTCTTTAATGGGGAGGATAAAGAAATGTAATTTATTGTATTTATTGTATATGCTTTTGCTCACTTACAAGATGATGAAGTAAATAGGTAAGGAGTGGTAGTGTTTTATGTTGATTGTATCTAGCATTGTTATTCATTCGTTGCTTATGTGTAGTAGTTGCATCAGCTATAATGCGGGAAGCTGTAGTTCTTTGAGTTGAAATAGCATTAATTCTCCCATAATATCTGGTGATATTGAGGTTGTGCTATCTATATGACTGGTCTAAAAAGGTGATTTCACATTATAGTCCATTACATATCTACCTGTCAAAATTTGCAATTTTGGCCTACTATTTTGTAATAGTCTCTTGATGTTCGTTCACTACTAGTTTGGTTGTTGACAGAAAACTTCTTATGTGAGCATAATGTTATTAATTTCATTAATTTTGAAATTTAATCAACATCTTTAGTAGTGCTCATTATTTAGCATGATAAATATAATTAGATGATTTGAAGATAATAAAATGGATAATTACAATTTAGTAGTGCTCATCTTTCACAGTTGTGAGGACTTTCTATTTCCCTTTTCTTTTCTGACATTTCTATCTTATGCATTCGAGCTAGTAGGGAAGCCTGAACCAAAACCTTCACCAACTTCAGAAAGTGGTACATTTATTCTCCATACTTAATCTGGTAAAATTACAAGGGGCATAGCCTCGCAAGGCTGTTGGTGCAGCTGCTGCCTCGCAGAGCAGCTGCTGCTGCTGCCTCGCAGGGCTGCTGCTGCTGCTGCCTCGCAGGGCTGCTGCTGCTGCTGCCTCGCACTATATGCCGACTTTGCTGCTGGTGTTCTGCTTCTGTGCTGCTCCTTATCTGGTGTTCTGCTTCTGTGCAGCTCCTTATCTGGTGTTCTGCTTCTGTGCTGCTCCTTATGTGCTGCTGTTCTGCTAGTGTAATATTACAACATTTATTTTATTTTAATTTTTTAGACAAAAATTGTAATATTACAACATTTATTTATGAAAATATGTAAGTTTATATATATGTTAGTGTTTATTTACCAATTTAAGTGGAAAAAATGCAAAAAAAAATGCAAAAAAAAAATTTATTTTTTTTGCCCATTATTGGCACCGGTTTTGAACAGGAACCGGTGCCAATAGCCCCTTAAAAAAAAAAAACCGGGAAGTGCTATTGCCACCGGTTAACCGGTGGCAATACTTGTTTTTGCCACTGGTTTTGAACCGGTGGCTTTTTATACGAGTATTGCCACCCCCCAAATGCCCGCCGGTTCAAAACCGGTGGCATAAGGAGGTTTTGAACCGGTGGCCAAATGCTTTTTTCGCCTAGTGGAGGATTGCGTGAGGCTTGTGGTTGGGCGTTGGTTTGGGAGGAGAGATAGTGGAGGAGGAAGAAGAGGGTTTCGGTTTCGGGTAGGGTGGGTAAGTGGTGGCAGAGGTGGTGGATTGGCGGTGGTGTAGAGAGGAGAGAGAAAGAAGAGGAGTGAGAATTAAAAAAAAAAATTAACCTGTTTAACAGGTTAAAGGTCAAATGGATCTGTCAAAGAAGGTGGGGTATAAAGGTTGGATTTTTGTGAGATTAAATGAAGGTTGGATTTTTATTGTCAGACCGGCCAAAGGTTGGATTTTTAGTTTCCTTTTCCACCCTTTCTTTATTTCTCACTCAATTTCTCATTCCCATGTATTGTATGTATTCCTTTTTTTTTTTTTTTTTTTTTTTGTATTCCTCTCAAAATTAGGGAAACACTTCAATTCGTAAAATAATTAACATGATTATATAATTTAATTTGAAGTTTTTCCTCGATACCCCCACATAACATCACATTAGAGTTGAGAGCCAAGTAGGTGAGAAGTTTTGATATTTTAAAAAATTGTTGGTGGTAAAATTCAAAAAATATAAACTGTAGGTGGTAATTGCTAAAATGACAACAATTGTAGGTGGTAATTGTCAAAAAATCCTTTATATTAAATAGTCAATAGTTGTTAAATATCTTTCAATTATAACATGTAAAATATTGAATATGGTTCTCTTAATAAAAATCTTTTTTCAAAATATGAAAATTTTAAAATAATAATCAACTAAGAAAAAACAGTCGAACATAATTATCAAACTAAACAAGTACAAACTAGTAGCTAAATTAAAGCGTTACTCGGGGACACACTAAAATATTGGCCAATTTAACAGGTTCCATAATAGGGGACAAACAAGATTCAAGAGATATTCCAACTAACATTATTCGGCCCTTACTATCTTCAATGTTCAATTAGTCACTGGCTCACTGTTATATTTTTCTCCATGCCCTGTCTCCAATTCAAGTTCAACCTCGCACCCACTCAATTTCATCTTAAATTTCGTTGATCTTCCACATGATAAACGTGTATGGGTGGCTTATCACTTAGTTCATTTAATAGTACCAAACATTGTAGGTGTAAAAACCCTATTCATGAATCTCAATCATTGGTTTAATTTTTTTGTTGATTAATAATTAATACACTTAATGGTATCAAAACTCACGGAGCTAGGTAACAATATAAACGAGCGGTATACACAATATATTATTACTTATTTTTAATCATCAAATAAACAAAAAAGTAAATTTGGTGCATATTTGTAGCCTAAGCAAATTATTTTGTTGGATTTGTCACAATTTAATATGTTACATGATCATAATTTACATACGAATAATATGAGGAGTTTTAGGCTTTTAGCCCCTTCTATTTAGCCATCTTGTATATATATTATTGTAGACAAGATTTAATCTAATATTTTTAGCACCACTCTTAGGTTTTAACAAATTAAACTTATTGACATACATATAAAGATTATGGCCCTGTTTGACAATTAGTTGTAAGTTGATTTGATTAGTTGTTAGATGTTAGATTGCATTAGCTATTTTAACTAAATAGCTAATTGTAACGATTTGTTGCATGGGAGTGATAGCTCAGCAGAATCACTCCCGATTTTCGTTTCTTAGACCCGGGATCGAGGCACACCCCGGCATTTCCACCCACAGATTCCTCCTGTGATAGGAAGGACTGTGAGACCCCACTTACTAGTAAAAGAAAATCTACTTCCTCTGTTCTTTTTTACTTGACTTGTTCTTTTATCACGCTTGTCAATGCAAAACTTTAACGGTCAATAATTTTAATTCTCCATAATTAAAAAATATAAAAGTTATATATTATGATAGTACTTATTGAGACGAATTCAAAATGATCCAACATAAATATGTTTTTCCTTACATATTATTCACAAAACACGGTCAAAAGAGGGGTGGTGAATAGTGTAAACCGTCAAAGTAGCTCAAGTAAAAAGAACATAATTTGTTTATATTTGAAATTGTTTGGTCATAGCTTTTAATTACTGGTTATTTTAGAGTATTAAACAAAAATACGCTAAAAGTTCACTCAAAAACTCCTCATATAAGCTGTTATTAATCGCTCTTTTTGGTGCAAGTAGGCTCTAACCAAACACCCCCTATATATATAGTAGTTGTTCAATTGAAGTATACATAATTATCTCTTAGCATTGTACCTTTTCACAATAATTTGACCAAGGTAATCATGCAAATCACAAACATGTCATTTCCTCTATACTTCCTTCCGTTCATTGCCTTCTCAATCTTCCTTTACAAATGGCTAGTATCACCAACCAAGAGCAACAAAGAGTTGCACTTACCACCCACCCCACCAATGCTCCCAATAATCGGAAACCTCCATCAACTCGGAAGATTACCTCATCGTTCCCTACGATCCCTTTCCATCAAGTACGCGACCTCATGTTACTCTACTTCGGCAAGAGGCCAACCTTCGTTGTGTCCTCTTCGAAGGCAGCCAAGGAGATCATGAAGACCCACGAACACCTCTTCCTCGACAGGCCTCAACTACGTTTCGTAGACAAAATATTTTACCATGGAAACGACGTAGGATTCAGTTCTTACGGAGATAGATGGAGGTACATGAAGAGCATTTGTGTGACGCACCTTCTATCCAACAAAATGGTTCAGTCTTTCCAATCAATAAGAGAAGAAGAGGTGGCTCGAGGGGTCAAAGAGATCAAAACCTACGGTACTTCACCTTTGAACTTGAGTGAGGTTTCTTCCGCACTCTTCAATGGTTTCATTTGTAGGATGGCGCTAGGAAGGAAGTACGACGGCGGCTACGATCACGGAAGTGGGAAGAACATCTATCACATGTTCAAGGAGCTTGCGGAGGTTATGGGGACGATTTGTGTAGGAGATTATGTCCCCTCTCTAAGATGGATTGATAGATTTTCGGGTTTGCATGACCGGATGGCGAATGTGCATAGACAGTTTGATGCGTTTATTGAAGAAGTTGTTCAAGAGCATGAGACTCAATATGAACAACGTAATGATGATTGTTGTAATAAAGATGATGAGGGAAAGTATGCTAAAGACTTTGTGGAGCTTTTGCTTGAAAATCAAAGGGAAAACCCTGAGCTAACTTTCAAGAGATAGTATCAAAGGCATTATTCTGGTAAGCCTTTTTTTTTTACATACTCCCTCCCTTTTTTTTCAATTGCATCTCTTTGACTTTTGCATTATTCATATACCATGGTTGACTTAATGTCTTCACCTCTATAAAATAAATATATAATTTATCATTAAATTAGTCATTATGTCTAGTAAGCTGATGGTTGAAGACTATGATCGATTTATATACTTTGTTATAAATTTTATTAATAGATAATTAATGATATTAATGGTCAAAATTACATTTTAACAAATGTATCGATCAAACTGATACATTTAAATAGAAAAAAAAAAAAAAAGAAGAAGAGGGATTTTCACTTTTCATTAAAAGGGTTTTATGCATTTTAATTCTTTCTTAATTTATCTTCTTATATTAAAATCCACTCCTTCTCCGATATTGAAAAATTATGAGAACAGAGGAAATATTATTGTGAAGGGCTGGGCTACAAAGGATGGATGGAGGCTCCGCCCCAACGGCCCCAAAAATCTCTTCCTTTTTAAAAAAATGGTGCTTTTTTTAAAGTGTTGTACCCTGTGTTGGGCTTATCAAAACACTATTCATTGCTAAACCCATGCAGCATCTACGCCTATTTGGGCATAGCTTGTAAAATGATCTCACATTCTCACCCAAACATTGCTCTTATTGGCTAAGGCCCCTTCTTATTGGCTTTAAGTTGACGACTTCATCTTTTAATAAATCCTTTAGAAATGTACTTATGGATTATGATATTCTATGCATTCTTATATTTTGTTTTTTTTTTATTGCACCATGAGTGATTTTACATATGCTAATACATTATTTTGGCTATTAATAACTTAAATTATGTTTTTGTAAAATTTACAAAAAAAAATTGATATCTGAAAAGTAGATTTCGAGATGAATCTATCTAGATCCCACATGATTATGTTTTTTTTGTGGATAAATCACAAAAGATGGATAAGGAAGATTATGTGAATAGTGTAAAATCTACAAGTAAAAGTGTAAAAAATAAAAAACGGAGGAAAGTATAAATCAAGAAATTGAGAGTGTTATTGAAACCAAGTCTCTTTTTGACTTTTTTTTTAGGCAAAAGTCTCTTTTTAACTTAAGTAGGAAAGAATCGGCGTTAGGACCATATACATCTTATGTGAAGTAAATAATTAGAGGAAAATGTTTGTTTTATAACTTTTAACTACTACTTTTCGTTCAATTCCTTAATACTCAGATTCTATATTTTTAATTTTTCTTATAATGAATTTATATACATGTAATAGTAATCAAATTTATCCAAATTCGGTATAGGATATACTTGGTGCGGCCACAGACACATCCACTACGTTACTAGAATGGGCAATGACAGAGTTAATAAGACATCCTACTATCATGAAAAAACTACAAGAAGAGGTAAGGGACGTCATCAAACCCAACACAAAGGTATCTGAGCATGACTTAAAGAACATGAAGTAGCTAAAGGCAGTGATCAAAGAGACACTTAGGCTACATCCTCCAGTCCCCTTTTCGGGGTTTCGAGAATCC